CCAGATTATATCCTGTCCGAAAAACTTCCCTAATCGTGTCTCATGAGATTACCGATCTGTTTTTTTTAATGATACATAATCAGACGGCTTTAAAGAGTGATTTCTCGAGTTTGACAATTGTAGAACATTGAGCATAACTGTCGCCATCGAATATTTGTGGCTCGAACGCAAACATTCATGTGGTAGAGACATCCTGTAACATGAAAACCACCTCATTTGCATGGTACCCTGTCCGTCGGGAGAAAATCAAACGACGATGAATCACGTGTGGTTGCAGAGACTTCCGTAACTTGTCCGTGGAAGGGCTAAGGTTCAAACCCCGACACAGCCAACCATGTGCTCTGGTGATGAAATCTAATAAGAGTGAAATTCAAGCCCAGTGCTCGCCCTCCTTTAGTGTGCACTCATCAACACGATTGCGCCAGGACAGGAGGATTTTGCAGGCGAGAGTCACGTGAGTGTGCATTCTACAGTTTGATTGGACCAGGTTGGTGAGGTGACCTTGACGCCCTCAGCTTATTTACAAATGTCCGAAAATCGGGTCAGTCACCCATCAAGAGCCAGACACGTGCATCGGTGCGCACGAAGCCAGCTATCGGACAACCTTGCACGCGTTGCGCTTGAGACAAACCCTGGGGGCTAGTCACAAGTCAGCGTCGCTCGAGTCCAACCACTGGCGCTCCAAGCGATGGCTGACTCCCGTTTCTCTTGCGATAACTGTATGAGGCGTACACTGATGGAATAGCTAACGTGCACACTAATCGTAACTAATCGCGGTCAAAGGTCATCCTCGGCTACCAGCACGTATATCAACACACACGTAACACTAGTGAACGCACAACCACTAACCCACCGCTACGCACAACTACGCACTGATGATGTCACCTCGATTGGTGATGAAACGTTTACAACTTGCCTGCCCAGCTCAGCGAACATGCCAACGACCATCTATGCTACCTGAGCTACCGACATTCTCCTCTATAAAAAATGTGCTTCACTTCGCGGTTTGAGCTACCGACATTCTCCTCTATAAAAAATGTGCTTCATATGCTTCGCGGTTATCATCAAATAAAGATTGTCGCTTGTCCGAGGAAGAACGCAGACTCAGTCTGAGATTTGCTCTCATAAAGTATGATCTGTTATTCCGTGATTCTATGCTCATACTCTTCTGAGAGGATTGCTTGTGTGTGAGGTCCATCTATATCCTACGAAACCGTCACGAAGAGACTGGACCTTACCGTGGTGTGACGGTTTGCGCACCTCAGCGATCCATTGAGCTATGCTGGAGAGTGTCCCGCAAAACTCAGAGTCTCTCATACTAGGTTGGTCAATGGTTAGAGGTCTGACGAACACAGTCTCCTGGCCCTCCAGCTTGGGGGTTGGAACATGTGGCGACTTGTTCCGTAGAAATGGTAATGCATTTGCATTTCCCGCCAAACACCGCTGCCTTGCGGTTAGGCTTTTGAGCCAAAGGCTTTGGTTGAGGACCCTAATCGTCTAAGTGTGTCTAGGTGTGGGCGCCCTGGCAGTATCCCAGCCCTCGTACAA